AAAAATATGATAGAAAAAAATAAAAAAATAACATAGTTCAATCTCTAATTTAATAAATATCCAATGATGAAACTGAAAAAAACATGAGCTTAAAAAAAGAAGTAAACTCAAACAAATGTTCTAAACCTAAACTAATCTTCTAAACTTGCAACCCATAAAATTTTGAATTTGATCTCAATCAAAAAACTCAATTCTCATTCAATTTAATGTTGATGGATGAAATTAAAATAAAAATCTATTTTAAAAATTATCTTAAAACAAAAGTAAAAATCAAAAGAATGACGATAAATTTGAGGTTTAACACATAAAAAATTAAAAAAATAATGAAATTAAAAATGAATTTTAATTTTATAAATAATTTCAAATAAAATAAATAGTAATAAAAAATAAAGATCAAATCTGAAGTAAAAATAAATTGAAGGGTTGCTATAAAGATTTATGAGGGCTAGGTATACAAAATGAGGAAGAGAGAGAAAAACAGGAAAAAAAAAGTCCATCGACGCCATATTGGAGGTTCATTGGCCGCACACATTGCTCAGAGAAAGAAAGCCACTAAGATGATTCAAATAGTAAAAAATTAGGTGAGATATTGAGCATTTATAATTTTTTGTTTAATGTATTACAAAAGAAATCATCATGTATTAATCCATTAAACTGGAAAAATTATTCACAATTTAAAATAACTTATTGTTTAACTTTACTGGATTTAGTTTATTTACTTATTGATGAAAAGGTTAGACTTGATGACAATATAAAATTAAGATGATAAAAGAATTGTTTAAGAAGATACGACTACATGTTGAGAAAAAGAATGAGAAGTATATATTTTAAACAAACAAAAGATGAAAGAGAGTTATCTTTGAATTATGAGATTGAGTTTGGATGTATGACACGACTAAAAGATTGATGTCTTCTCTCAAGTGCAGGAGTGTCGAAGTAATAAATAACCCGGCAAAACCGGAGTCGAACCGTAAGGAGGTTAATTGTACAAATTATAAATAACAATAATACAACAACAATAACAATGACAACAACAACAACAACAACAACAACAACAATAATAATAATAATACAAGTAGTAGTAGTAGTAGTAGTAGTAGTAGTAGTAGTACTAATAATAATAATAATAAAGAAGATGATGAGAACTTTGAGATTGAATATTAACGTAAAGATTTAACAACGATAACAAACAATGTTAAGGTTAGAGGATCCACTAATAGTATATCAAATAAGTATAATATAAACTCTTATTATTCAATTGGAAACCACACACAAAGGAGGTTCCAATCAGATTATAGATTGTTAACATGATTACATTAGTCATCTTATTCAATTAATGCTAATACTTGTAAATTTCATCAAGCATTCATGATTCATCTTATTCAATTAATGCTAATACTTGTAAATCTCGTCAAGCATTCATGATTATAACTTATGTTAACAACAAATCAAGTTCCTTTCATAGCTCAGGTGTCGGTTATACCATACATTATGGGCTATGAAAGTGCCAAGCATTTGTTGTATCAAGTGTTATACAACATAAATCTAGATTAGTTATTTAACAAGCAAAGTATTAAAGAGTGAATAAGATAACAAATATAAAACATGTTAGTATCAAACATTAAAGTCCATATTAAGTTTACACTATACTTAGTGTAACCTTTTCACCTTGACATAATAAACTTAGCTAGACATAATGAAAGAAAGAAAAATAAATAAACAAAATAAGAACATAAATAAGATAAGAGTTAACTAAGTAAATGAAAGGAAATGAAAGGCATAAACTTGATATTAATGAAAGCAAAGCATAAACATTACAAAAAAGATAAAGACAGAAAGCAAGAACATGATCTTGATCTGGAAACCAAGATGCCTAAATGCATGGCAAATGCCTCCTTTTATAGGCCAAAATTAGTAACTATTGATTTGATGACTAATTGATGAGTGGGTGGCCAACTCTTGACTTAGTGACAATCCTTATCTTCTCTTGTTTGCTCAAAACATCATTGATAACGTTAAAATTGGAGCCACTCGAAAATATGAAAGTTGTAGGCAATTGTCTCAGCTTTCTTGTGTAAAACCTTCAGCTCATTTGGACTTCTAAAACTCCAGATATGGCAAAAACTTCTAGAACTCTAGATATGGCCACAATACTAAACAGTGCTCGGGCTAGAGGACAAATTCGGGCTTCTTTGTTGTTGCTATAATTTGGACTTGAAAATGGCCTTTTTAGATCTTGAACTCCATATAAAAGTTGTAGGCCTATGTCTTACCTTTCCATCCATATAAAGTAGACCTAAATCTGAGATCTATAGCTCCAGATATGACCCAATTACCGAACAGTATTCCGGTTTGGATTGCACCAACATCTATTTTCTAATTTTGGTCATCTCTTTGCCCTTGCAATTTAAGTTCTTAAAGTCATCAATCAATCCTTTCATTTATATGATAGGCCTGCATTAAAATGAACATTTACCATAAATCAAAGGTATCTTATATTATTAGATATATTATTGTAAAACATGTTTTAGTTAAGGAGTTATTGATACTTCAAGTGCAAAATGATAATATAAAACCATGATAAAAATGCACTTTTAAGTACTAATCACACCCCCTAACCAGCTTATTACTAGTTCCTAGTAATCAAAGTGTTAAAATAGAAAAACAATTTGCAAATTCCACAAAGCAAGGTATTCATCATTTAACTTCCATTAATCTATCCAGATAAACAAACTCCCATTAAATTTATATATCTGTTCAATACCTCTTAACAAGATATTAATAAACCTTTCTTTTGTGCTCAATTTATCAACACATAATTATAGGGCTTTACTTGGATGAAAACAAAATTTTTGTTCTAATGTTTAAGGTTAACTTCCTTAGATTGGGATTATTATTTTTGTTTTTTTTTTAAAAAAAAAAATCTATATACATTTCTTTTATATATATATATATAGACACATACATATAACTTAAAACACCATGCATCTTTAACCCAAGTAACGAGCTTTCAGCTAATGACTCCCAGACCAGTTGGTCTTAGGGCATTAGGTGTTGAGACACCTCTACGAGCTTAGTAACTCGGGTCGCAGATACTGATATGTAGATAGTGCAATGTTTGATTCCCTTAAGCTTTTCTCCTCAACCCATGTAACAAGCGTTGGGCCAATAGCTCCTAAGTCAGTTGACTTTAGGGTATTAGGTGTTAAAACACCCTTCGAGCTTAATTGTTTAGGTTAGGGAGGCTACGAAACCAAACTTATCTACATTTTTATTATCAATATTTTTTTTCTTTTTTTTCTTTTAAAAAAAATGATATACTATCCCTTTTCCTTAGTTGTTACCTTTAACAAAAGAACATAAATAATGTAATAATCCAATATGCAACCCACAATCATATGTTAAAGTGTGTGTGTGTGTGTGTAAATTAAGGTTTAAGAATACATGTTAAATAAGTATATGAGCAGAATTAAGTGATAACAATGCGAGAGTTTGTAAACCTGAATATTTCAAGAAGTATTATGATAGACCTTATTAAAAATGGTTACTAAGATGCGTCTTAAGAGTCATAAAAGTTTTTCTTACTCTGCCATCATAGTAACAAAAATTTTGCACATGCTTTATGAAATAGAAAACACAGTTTTTTTTTTAGCTACTACCCTCTCCCCCCAACCAAAATGAGACATTGTCCTCAATGTTCTAAGGTAGAAAGATAGAGTATAGAAGATATCACCTGAAATAACAAACACTGACAAACCTGAAACACACTGAAATAAATATAAGAAACAACAAAACACAATAATAAAACCAAAAGACACAAATATTCATAAATGAAGGCTCAAATCCAATCTAAGCTTTTTATGGCTTTCCTTAGATGACCAATTTATGCGACTCATGGAAGGATCGATCACAGGAATGAAAGATAACAACTTATCATAATAACCATTAACATTTAAGAAACCTATGGGTTTATGGTGAATATGCAGTTGAGCCCAAGAGGAAATATGAAAGATCTCTTCCAATATGCCTAGACCACCTGGTAAAGCAATGAAGGCATCAACATGGTTAAACATTGCATTCATTCGAGCTGACATTGTGGAGACCTGAAGTTCTTCTCTAATTGTTTTTCCAATGATGTCCCCTTGTGCTAAAGCTTCTGGGACAACCCCCAAAACTTGACTACCTCCTAAAAATACAACTATTGACACACCTCCCATTAACCCTAGACTGCCTCCCTCATATACTAAATGAATCTTTCTCTCAGCTAGCACCTGACCAAGATGATTTGCTGATTCTAAAAACTCTTTTTCTTTCCTAGGACTAGATCCACCGAAAACACAAATATTTCTTATCTGATGACCTGAGGAACTTGCCATTTCTATACACTTATGTATTTGTTGAATATATGGGTTTAGTAGAAATGAAAGGAAGGAAGAGAGGATTTTATAGATGAGAAATTAGAAAGGCAATCATACCACCTATATGGAGGCTAGCTGGAGTCTCACACACTCTCTTTCTCTCTCTTTATTTATTTATCTATTTACTTTTAAAAAAGCATGTGTATGTACAGGTAGTTGTGATTGTGGCTCATATCTTCCCTTGGTTTTACGTCTAAGAACGGCTTAAACGCCCTCTATGGGTCGGGGATAGGCTTCCCATCCAGTTTTCTTAAAAACTGGCAAACAGGGTCTTTTTTAGTCAGATTCCCAAGACTAAGTCGATCATGTTCTTTATGAAATACAAACAAAGTCTTTTTTAGTCATATTTTCAAGACTAAGTCGATCATGTTCTTTATGAAATAGTAGCCATAAATCATGAATTACACGATGCACATCTCCACTAGGATGCGTCTCAAGAGTCAATAGAAGATTATCTAAAGACTCCTTACTCAGGCCATCCTTAATGAATTGTATTTTATCTTCACGGTTTATAGATACCATTCCTAAAGAACGACATTGTGTATTACAAGTCCATCTAGCACATCGATAACAGACTTTTAGTCGTTTTGCACGACGCTTCTTTGTAAAAGTGCTTTTACCTATTCCAGGCATGTGTAAATTGAAGGAGTTAGAGGACTCACCTGATAATCGAACCTTTGCTTCAATCAACCAGTGAATATCTTCAGGAATTCTATGATTCATTAACAATCTCAATCTTGCACATCTAGCACGATAAATTTTTGTAATCGCATTCTAAGGCAGGGCGGGAAAATACTTTTTCAATTTTTTAAGATTAGTGTCCATTTTCAAATGATAATTGGAAGAGAGATTCAAAGAATTGCACAAATATATACACAAATATTAGTTATTGTGGGAAACTGAAAAAACCAACTTAAGTCACGGAGTACCGTTGTCCGCCATTTGACCGGGGTGAGAGAAACACTTAAGTCATAGAATACCGTTATCTGTCATTTGACCGGAGTAAGAGAAACTAGCAAAAATCACTAAAAAAGAAACACAAAAAAAAAAAATCAATCTTTATATACAGGATCACCCAATTCAATAAAGTAATGTTCAACTGAAAAATTGTCAAAGTAAACTTTCAGATGATGTCCATTTACCTTGAAAACATTGCCATTTTTTGGATTCTCGATGTCGTAGGCCCCATATGGATACACATGTTTCACAATAAAAGGACCGCTCCATCTTGATCTTAATTTTCCAGGAAATAAATGCAGTCGAGAATTATAAAGCAAGACTTTTTGACCAACATTGAATGTTTTTCTCAGTATATTCTTGTCATGAAACTCTTTGATTCTTGCTTTATGAATTCTTGAATTTTCATATGCATCATTTCTTATTTCCACATGCTCATTTATTTGTAATTTTCGCAGTTGACTAGCATCATCCATATTTGAATTGAAAGCTTTAATAGCCCAATAAGCTTTATGTTGAAGTTCCACAGGCAAGTGACAAGGTTTTACATAGATTAGTCTATAAGGTGACATACCTAATGATGTTTTATAAGCAGTTCGATAAGCCCAAAGTGCATCATTAAGTCTTAAAGACCAGTCTTTCCTATTAGGGTTCACTGTTTTCTCCAAAATATGTTTGATCTCCCTATTAGCAAGCTCTATTTGTCCACTTATTTGAAGGTGATAAGGGGTGGCAACTTTGTGTGTGATTCCATATTTCTTCATTAAAGACTCAAATGGCTTGTTGCAGAAATGTGTTCCACCATCACTTATTATGGCTCGAGGGACTCCAAATCGACTCAAAATATTTTCTTTCAAAAACTTTATCACTGTTTTGTGATCATTGTTTCGACTTGGAATTGCCTCTATCCATTTTGAAACATAATCTACTGCGACTAATATGTATAAAAAACCAAATGATGAAGGAAATGGACCCATGAAATCTATACCCCAACAGTCAAAGATCTTAATGACAAGAATAGGATTTAAAGGCATCATGTGACGTTTTGAAATTGATCCCAACTTTTGACAATTTTCACAAGACGTGCAGAATGCATGTGAGTCTTTGAACATGGTGGGCCAATAAAATCCACTTTGTAAGATTTTTGCAGTTGTCTTTCTTGACAAGAAATGGCCCCCACATGCCTCAGAATGACAAAATTTAATGACACTACTTACCTCATTGTCAGGAATGCATCTTCGAAATATTTGATCCGAACAATATTTGAATAAATAAGGATCATCCCAATAAAAGTTCTTCACTTCGTTCAAGAACTTTCTTTTATCTTGGGTACTCCAATGAGCTGGCAATTGTCTTAAAACAAGAAAATTGACAATATTAGCAAACCACGACATTATAGAGACAGAAAGTAAAGATTCAACGAGAAAGTAGTCATCGATTGGTCTGATGTCAGTTTTCGAATTTGTTGTCAATCTTGACAAGTGATCTGCGACAACATTTTCGCTGCCTTTCTTATCTTTGATTGTGATATCAAATTCTTGAAGTAATAAAATCCATCGCACCAATTTAGCCTTAGAATCTTTCTTAGAAAGAAGATATTTCAATGCTGTATGATCACTAAAAACAACAACAGGTGAGCCAATAAGATAAGATCTGAATTTTTCACATACAAATACTACTGCAAGTAATTCTTTTTTAGTGGTGGGGCAATTCCTCAATTTGTGGCCTCCAATTACTTGTCTTTGATTCTTCCTGAAAATAAATCATTTGCAAATCATCAGATTCATCAATCTTAATTTCACTTGAAGAGGTTGGAAATTGATCATGAATTAATTTTTCAGTAAAGTCCACTTCCTATAATTCATTATCATCTCTAGGTTGCTTGCAAATGTTGAAAATATTCATCTCCAATGTCATGTTTCCAAATGATAGCTTCATCAGTCCATTCCCACAATTAATCAATGCATTAGAAGTTATAAGAAATGGACGTCCTAAAATAACAGGAAATGAATTACATACTTCAACAAGTTGTGTGTCCAAGACAATAAAATCCACAGGATAAATGAATTTATCGACTTGTACTAACACATCTTTAATTATTCCTCTAGGCACTTTTATAGATCTATCAGCAGGTAAAAGGGTTATAAAAGTTGGTTTTAACTCACTTAGATTGAGACTCTGAAAAACTGAATATGGAAGTAAATTCACACTAGCACCAAGATCAAGTAAGGCTCTTTCAATTTTATGCTTTCCAATAAAGCAAGAAATTATAGGACAGCCAGGGTCTTTATATTTCAAAGCATTATTGTTTTGAAGAATAGCACTTACTTATTCGGCTAGAAAGGCTTTCTTTTTCACATTCAGTTTTCTCTTCATAGTGCATAAATCTTTTAAAATTTTAGCATAGGAAAGAACCTGTTTAATAGCATCCAACAAAGGTATATTGATTCTTACCTGTTTGAAAGTTTCAAAAATTTCAGAGTTGTGATTGACTTTCCTTTATTTGGTAATGGCTTGAGGAAATGGAAGTGCTGGCAGAGAATCAGTCTTTTCTTTGCAATTTTCATAATCAACCCCTTTCTTACTCTTAGAGATTGACTCATCATCTTTCTCATAAGGTTCAAGAGAGGGTTTTTCAATAACCTTACCACTACGCAGAGTAGTGACTGATTTGACTTGATCTATGTGTTGGCTTCAGGAACTACTTACATTTGCATTGTATTTCCCCTTGGGATTTTATTGTGGTTGAGATGGAAACTTACCTTTCTCTTGGAAAATGAGAGCAGATGTTAATTTTGCAAGAGTATCTTTAAAATTTGTCATGTTTTGAGCAAGTTGAGTATTGATTGTCTCTTGCTTTTCAATGAATGCATGCAATGTTTCCTCAAGATTTCTTCTAGAAGGTGGAGCATAAGGAGGTGCATATCCATGAGAATTATGGAAATTATGGTGTGCTTAAAATGGTGGTTGTGAAGTTTGTGCGTTGTTGTTCTCACTCTTCCAACTAAAATTTGGGTGATTTCTCCAACCAGGGTTGTATGTTTGTGAGTATGGGTTGTGGTTGGCCCTTTGAAAACTGTTTAAAGCATGGGCTTGTTCATGGAGACGTTCCTTAAAAGAAGGCAAGGTTGGGCAATCGTTGGTTGAGTATTCATTTGTTTCACAGATTTGACACACAATGTTTTCAACAGATTTCAAGTGACCACTCTTTTTCAATTCTAGTGCCTCGACTTTTCTAGCTAAATATGCAAACTTGGCTTGAAGGTCATGATTTTCCCTAAGGTTGTACATAGCTCCACTAGATGTATAAGGTTGAGTTTTACTCAGTGCCTCATAAGTACCCGCGGTGTCCCAATTTTGAGCATTTTCAGCTAACAAGTCTAAGTACTCTATTGCTTCATCAGGGTCTTTATCTTCAAAAGTTCTATTGCACATCAATTCAACCATTTGCCTATCTCTAGGTGTTAACCCTTCATAGAAATGTGAAACCAATCTCCATGTTTCAAAACCATGATGAGGGCAAGTACTAAGCAAGTCTCGATACCTATCCCAACATTGGTAAAATGTTTCTCCTGGTTTTTGAGTGAAAGTGGTGATTTGTCTTTTGAAAGAGTTTGTTCTATGAGATGGGAAAAACTTCTTCAAAAACTGTTGTTGCATTTCATCCCAAGCACGAATGGATCCTGGTCTTAAATTTTGTAGCCATGTTTTAGCTTTATCTTTTAATGAAAAAGGAAAAAGCTTTAATCTGATGGTGTTCATGCTACAATTTAAATTATTATATGTGTTGCAGACCTCCTCAAATTCTCTTAAATGCAAGTATGGATTTTCCAATTCTAAGCCATGAAAAGAAGGTAAAAGTTGAATAATACCTGGTTTAAAATTAAAATAAGATGCATCGGGAGGAAAAACTATGCATGATGGTGCACTTGTTCTTGTGGGATTCATGTGGTCTCTAAGTGTTCTAGCACGATTATTCTTATTATGAAGTGATTGATTGTCTTCTTCGGCTATATTTTCTGAAAATGATGAGAATACCCTACAAAGTCTACCACTTGATGTACGTGACCACACTCTCATGCACGTGTAGGAATAGAATAAAAGGAAAAAGAAAACAAAAGAAGAAGAAACAAGAGAAAAGAAACAAAGTTATATGCAAGAAAAGTGAAAAGAGAAAATAAAATAAATATTATAATTTATGCAAGGACTTACCTCCCTGGCAACGGCGCCAAAAACTTGACACGACTAAAAGATTGATGTCTTCTCCCAAGTGCAAGAGTGTCGAAGTAATAAATAACCCGGCAAGACCGGGGTCGAACCATAGGGAGGTTAATTGTACAAATTATAAATAACAATAATATAACAACAATAACAATGACAACAACAATAATAATAATAGTAATAACAGCAATAATAATAATAATAATAATAATAGTTGTAGTAGTAATAGTAGTAATAATAATAATAATAATAAAGAAGAAGAAGATGAGAACTTTGAGATGGAATATTAACGTAAAGATTTAACAACGATAACAAACAATGTCAAGGTTAGAGGATCCACTAATGGTATCTCAAACAAGTATAATATAAACTCTTATTATTCAATTGGAAACCACACACAAAGGAGGTTCCAATTAGATTATAGATTGTTAACATGATTGCATTAGTCATCTTATTCAATTAATGCTAATACTTGTAAATTTCGTCAAGCGTTCATGATTATAACTTATGTTAACAACAAATCAAGTTCCTTTCATAGCTCAAGTGTCGGTTATACCATACAGTATGGGCTATGCAAGTGCCAAGCATTTGTTGTACCAAGTGTTATACAACATAAATCAAGATTAGTCATTTAACAAGCAAAGTATTAAAGAGGGAACAAGATAACAAATATAAAACATGTTAGTATCAAACATTAAAGTCCATATTAAGTTTACACTATACTTAGTGTAACCTTTTCACCTTGACATAATAAATTTAGCTAGACATAATGAAAGAAAGAAAATAAATAAACAAAATAAGAACATAAATAAGATAAGAGTTAACTAAGTAAATGAAAGTAAATGAAAGCAAAGAACTTAATATTAATGAAAGCAAAGCATAAACATTACAAAAAATACAAAGAGAGAAAGGAAAAGCATGATCTTGATCTGGAAACCAAGATGCCTAAATACATGGCAAATGCCTCCTTTTATAGGCCAAAATTGAGAACTATTGATTTGATGACTAATTGATGAGTGGGTGGCCAACTCTTGACTTGGTGACAATCCTTATCTTCTCTTGTCTGCCCAAAACGTCATTGATAACGTCAAAATTGGAGCCAGTTGCAAACATGAAAGTTGTAGGCAATTGTCTCAGCTTTCTTGTGTAAAAACTTCAGCTCATTTGGACTTCTAGAACTCCAGATATGGCCAAAATACCGAACAACTTCTAGAACTCTAGATATGGCCACAATACTAAACAGTGCTCGGGCTAGAGGACAAATTCGGATTTCTTTGTTGTTGCTATAATTTGGACTTGAAAATGGTCTTTCTAGATCTTGAACTCCATATAAAAGTTGTAGGCCTATGTCTTACCTTTCCATCCATATAAAGTAGACCTAAATCTGAGATCTATAGCTCCAGATATGACCCAATTACCGAACAGTGTTCCGGTTTGAATTGCACCAATATCTCTTTTCTAATTTTGGTCATCTCTTTGCCCTTGCAATTTAAGTTCTTAAAGTCATCAATCAATCCTTTCATTTATGTGATAGGCCTGTATTTAAAATGAACATTTACCACAAATTAAAGGTATCTTATATTATTAGATATATTATTGTAAAACATGCTTTAGTTAAGGAGTTATTGATACTTCAAGTGCAAAATGATGATATAAAACCATGATGAAAATGCACTTTTAAGTACTAATCAATGTATATAAGTAGAAAAGAGATTTTCTAGATATTGAAAATCAAATTTAATGCTTAAAGAATACAATTTATTGAGATTCCTTAAAGAAAAGAATGCCTATAAAGTGAATCTATAGGATAAGTATAATGTTAGTGTTATATTCAAAGTTTCTTATCTTTCTTTATTTGATGTATATCATTCAAGGTTGAATCATTTGAGGAGATAAGGAATGATGCGATCCTGGATACAACATCAAAAGACCTTAGGAGTGTCTATCAAGTTTATTCTAAGGTCTAAAATGAAGTGGATCCAAAATGAGTTCAATGGGTTAAGTAAAGGGATTTGGGTTAAAAAAGCTTAAATCTATCAGTCTAGACCTTTGTTTACTTTCATATCATATATGAAGTTGTATTTGGAGTTTCAATTATGTTGAAAACTAGACATTTGTACATTTCCAATTAGATATGGTAGGTTCGCTAATTTAGCCGGATGAGAGAGTAAAACATGTTTGAAGTTGGGTCTAGAATCTGCCAGCAAAGTGTAAAAACAAAAAAAGACATTGTTTCCTCGAGAGTTGTGGATTCCATTTACTATAAGGAGTTATTAATGTTACTAAGAACTTATGTAGCAGCCTTTGACTTACTTATTTTACAAGGATTTTATATTAAACAAGAACAATTAAGTAGTTAGAAATTAATT